CATGGAGATCGTGGATCCCAGCTTTTGGCTTTGAATGCGAGCGACTCTCCTTTTCGAGCTTTGACAGAATCGCAAAAGGCGTCCTTGGCCGAGGGGATCCTTCTCAATGATAAAGCCGGCTGGGACTACCTGAAGGCATTTCCAGTTTCAAGACAAAGGAGAAAAAGGATGTTGACGTCCCAATGGGTTGTCCATCTCTATGCGGGACCCGGAAAGGGAGCTGACCCTATCCTCAAGGAGCTGGATGATGGCCGTGTCTTGCTTGAGGTGGACTTAACTCGATCCAAGGCCTTTGACATGAACAAGTTTGGTGGAGTCTATCGCGGATTGTTGTGGGCCGCGGCAACTGGCCGAGTGGCTGGAATCATTGGGGCTCCTCCTTGCCGAAGCTCAACCGACACGCCATTGATACTGAAACAGCTGTGGCTAACGCTTGTGGCCAAGGCCGCAGCCATCAGGCAGGGCGAGTTTCCGGTGTTTGCGGCGGTGGAAGGACGTAAGCTTTTTGAGGCTGTCAAGGGCAACTTTGGCCAAGGATGGGAATCTCTTCGTGAAGTCTGGCCTTTGGTTTTGGAAGAGATGTGCTTGGAAGAGGTTGCGGGCGTCATAGCCACCAACTTGGACTTCATTCTTCCCTTGGAGTGTACTACTTCCACGGGTGCAGCCTGGACTTCTTCCTTCAAGACGGCGATCGTGGAGGCTGTACGGCGCTGGCAAAAGGAGCCAGAGTCACTTCAAGTTGTCAAGTGGGCCAAGAAGCTGGATGTGAAGGGTTTCTTGGAGGGCTTCACAGAAAAGGAGCTTCGTATGTGGCGTACACATGTGAGGAACAATCACACACCATATAACAGGAGATGCCGGACCTGCGTTGCAAGTTCCGGAGTGGGGCGAATGCACAGGCGCGTTAAGCATCCAAGTGCGCATTGCCTCAGCCTCGACGTAGCAGGCCCGTTCCGCCAAAAGGCGGCAGACCCGGATCACCGAGATTATCGCTACATGCTGATCGGTGCCTACACCTACCCCAAGCTGGAGATGCC